CTCTGAAATTTTCTCCTTTCTGCTCTTCTGCCTTTTCCCTGAGCCGTGTTTGCTGCAATCTGTAACGCTGCTGATGCTCCTCCTATTCTCTACGTGAAGGCCAATGTGGCTGGCAACAGACCTGCCCCTGTACACCACATAAATAACCGCTCCAGCCATCGGGACAATTTGTAATCCAAGGCACAGCAAACTGCCATGGGAAGTCAAACCGGGCAGCCCCAAGAGATTCACAGGTCTCAGGTTTTTAGGGACAGCAAACTCATTCTGCAGTTTGTGTCAGGTTTTGGTGTTTGGAGAGTTAACAGAAGCTGCCTCTCTGAAGGGTAAAAACACAATTGCAAGAGGCTGCCGCACAAGGTGATTAAAAATTGATCATTTTCAACTTAAAGGAGCTATAGCCTTCTGTGCTTTAGCCCGGTGAGCCAACGCCTGCCGAGGCAGGAGCAGCACCGGTTACTGGGCACTGGGACCACCGTCCTCCCGCAGCGCTGGCAGGATGGGTCCACAGCACCCGGGGTCCTCGAGGGACAAACCCTGTGAGCCCGCTCCGGCTGCCGCCCTGTGCAAAGGGTCCTTTCGTTAGCCATGGCTCTAGGGGATCTTTGATCACTCTTCACCTATTACAACCCCAACTTGTAAACAGCCCTGCCATGAGCATCCAGGAAGGGTCGGCTTACTTTGTGTTTTCCCCCAAGGTAAATTTGGCCTATTCTCTTCGTTTACATTGCAATAAATTTAGACTGTGGTCACTAGTGCATTGAGAAATGAATCGGGTAGCTGTCTTTCCTTCTAGGACTTATCTCCACATATATTCCCCCTGTCTTGAGTCTTCTCAAGAAAGGAAGTAACAATACACGGCCTCATCTTAATGCCACCCTGTTATTGAATTTCAATGGATTAACAGATTCAGCGCTACAGAGTAAAATTACAGGTATTTACTACTCCAGATACACAGAAAGCAGCAGATGTGATTCATTTGGAGAAGGATTAATTTACTTTAATTTACTTCATTAATAAGAAGGATTCATTTACTTTTAAAAATGGTAGTTTAAAGTTATGACACAATTCAACAACAAAAAATAAGACAGATAAAAGGATTTTTCACCTTTTTCTGTGGAAAACACAGTCATCCTAACAGCTTTCATTTCACACAGAACGAGCTGGCTTTGACAACTTCACAGTATAATAGATCTCTTCCATTTTTGCCAAGCGCTTTTCTGGCCCTGTAAAATCCAACT